AATCAAATATTGGGAGAAATTTTGCCTTCTTCGGGAACTTTTTCTGATGGAACTAACCCGCATTTGCGTTACATGGATAGGAAGATCACGAGAACCCCCCACGGTTAGCCTGACGGCAAAGGGACTCTAACCCGTAATCTGTCTACCACTAATGATGTTTCACGTCAGCACTGTGGTCGGTGCAAGCCGGATGCGGATTCGTATCGACCAGTCATCGCAGGGATTCGAACCCTCTATCCCCTGAGCCATCGCGGCTCAAATTGTATAGTATATTATTACCTTGCACGCATCCATTTTCGAGCCAATCCAAGGTAACTAACAAATCAAACGTGCCTCAGTACTGCAGTAAGAACGCGCCATAAAAGAACCCTCTATTGACGCTTCTAACCACCATTTGCGCTTCTGTTTTCAAATTTTGTAATCTGGCAAACTTATAACGAAAGTTACTTTAAATCATTCTTGAAAGATTACAGATACGTTTGAAATCGCCACTCACTTTATAGATTACGGTTTGTGCTTTGTTCTGTATTTTTCTTAGACTTTATTTACTGTTTTTTGCTTGGTATATTTCATATCGTATATTTTTTACTGCGTTCTATTTTCAATTTTTTGAGTTGACTGATTAGTTACATTTCTCCTAAACTAATTAATATATTTTATAAAGATTTTCAGTAAACAACTTTTTTTTATTTCGAAATTAATAAGTTTTATATAAAAATCTTTTTAAAGCCAAACTAATCAGAATAAACGCATAGTTTCAGATAACATTAAAAATTCTAGTTTGTTGACTTCTGCTGCCACGTTTACGTAGATCATTGAGCTTATCTGACATAAGGAATAAAATATAAATAAATATTAAAAAAATCTACAATAAGCTCTCTTTTTAATTAATGAGAGCTACAAGCAAGCAAACATCACTGTCGTTACACGTGTCGTTATCCTTACAATATCAGTGTAGCGTAACTACCACTACGAATATTAAACATTAATTCACTAATATATAAGTCATACTAACTAGATTGTGTCAATAGGTACCTTCAGATAGATGAAGGTTGAAATAGTCAATAACCCCTTTCCTCCAATCAGAAACAGAGTCACCTGCATTTAATTCATAGCAATGGCTCTTAACCAATAAGAAAATTTCATTTCTCAAGCGTCGAATCAATTGACCCTTTACACCCATAGTCCAAATTTCAGAACGTTAGCACAAATGGAGTTATAAGAGACACACAGAGAGAGAACAACTCTTCATTATATTATTATAGAGTGAATGAATCATATCTGACTAGTTTAAAACTTTTACATTTATACTTAGTTCTTAAATTTTGTTTTGTTCAATACATAAATTACTTCTTGGAAAACCACTTTTAGGCTTTTTAAAGTTTAATTTACATTGCTATTTTCGCAAATTTGCTACCAATTTCACGGGGCATAATATCTTAATTTAACATAGTAGCGTCTTTCAAATTATTAAGTAAAATGTTTAGTGAATATAAAATTAATAATTATTAATGTTACAGGAATAGTTTAGTTAGATGCCAATCTCTTTTGTTATATTTATTTTCCATTATAACAGAGTTCAAACGAATAATGCACAAATGCAAGAATTTAATGTGCTTTACTCAGGAAAAGTGTATTTATTTTTTTTTATAAATTTGAAATTTATTTGCAAATTTCATTAACATTTCGCATTAACAGCGCTGCAAACTGAGAAAAACAACATATTTTGATAAATAACTACCACTTGAAGCACAATTTCGAAACAAAATTTAAAACATGCCAGTGCATATTTCAGGTGTAATAGCCTCTCACACAATAGAAAAACTTTGTTTTACAATTTCTTTTGCACGGAGCAGCGCCATCTGTAGATGAGTTTTGTAACTAGCTATAAAAGTTACCTATTAACTTAATTTCTTAAGCAGAATATAGCAAACCATATTTTTCTTTTTTTTTTTTCTCGTGGATTTTTTAAATTCGGTTATTTTTGGACACTTTGCATGTAATTTAAATAAATCAAATCATTTCACTAAATTTATCACTTTATTGCTGCAGATGAATTAAAACAAATTTACAATCACCATGAAGTGCGACATATTTCTTTATACACTTTTATTTTTAACCAACAAATCATACTGCTTAGTAAAATTTAAATATTTTTTTAAAAAAATATTGATATGCAACTCATAACAATGAATTTTTTTACAAAAAAAAGTAAATGAGGAACAAAAATTACAATTAGGTGTTAAAAGTTTCAATACATTAAAAAAAAATCATACATGAAAGAAAACCTTTCTTTATCAAGTATCTAAATTTAGAGGTGCAATTAGAATGAGTTATAAAAACTTTATTTTTCATGAAAATCACAGAGATGACAAAATTGAGATGAATTTTATTTGGCTACTCTCTTGTTAGGAAGCTACTTACTAAACTAGTAGTAGCATACATTAAAAAAAATAATCATAACAAAATGGTCCAAACTCAGTTTGAGAGGAAATATCTTAAGTTAATAGGAGATCTGTTTCATTTTGAAGAGATGATTTTATGATAAGATGTTGGCAATATGGCACACAATATATTTTGGATGAACTCTTTTACTGTTCAAAGTGATGATGAAAATTATTAATCTTGAATTTTAAATATCAGAATGTAAAAGTTTAAAAAAGTGGTACTGATGTTAAAGATATTTTTAGTTTTTTTTTTCTTTTTTATACAAATGAAGTATTAAGATTATAATTCTTAATGAAGTAAGTTTATACTTTTTTAGATAATGAAAAATAACATAGTAAAAGTTTTAGTTCAGAAAACAAAATTTACAGTATCAGATACACTAGGAAAAAAAAGAAACTGTAAAAACAAATTTACTTATTATTATAATTATTTCCGTTAAAGTATGATTATATGAAAGGGTAATATCAATATTTATGAATGTCATATTTACAGATTTTCAAAACGTAAAACTCAGATAAATTCTTAAAAACTATTTAAACTCCTCAAAGTAAGTAAGTAATGGTTTAAGTGTAAATGACACCGTCATTTTAATAAAAATTATTAGTAGAACTGATTGAAATGTATTACTTTTTTTTTACTGAGATGCATGCTTTGAAAATAGGCATATATGACATGCAAGGTGAAATTGCCTATAAGTAAAATCAAAATTAAAAAGTTTTATCTCATTAAATATGAATAATAACATGAAATATCAATTTTAATTGGAGAAAACTAAAAACATTTACGAATTGTAAAATGAAATAATTTTAAGGCAATTTTAATTATATGAAAATGATGGAAATCATATAACATAGATTAAGTTTCTATTTTTAACAATGAATATGCATTGAGAAATCTATTTTTAAATCGTAAGAGAACCTAAATTGAGAGAAGTTAATTGTTTTAAGTTAAATATTTTAATCTGTTTGTCTTAGTAAAAAGAATTTCAAGTTACAGGTAGCACAAATATGGCCATTTTTAACTTTAAAAAACTTTTTTTTTCTTAATAAATTGTTTTCTCATTTAATAAATCCCGTAACTTATATTTATATTATGATGACACACTTATTTCCAGAATCAAAAACAGTAAAAATAAATATAAACATATTAGGAATAAAAACAATACAAATTAATGAAACAGAAAATTGAAAATCAACAAAAACTTTTAATACTTTCTTTTTATAGCTTATTATTCCGCATCTACTATATTTATCAGCAACTGAAAGAAAATATAAAATTAAGCTACTGTTCTAACACACTTTTTAGTACTTGATATAATCTACCAAGACAGGGAAAACAGTTTTTTGATGTGTTGCCTTGCCAGCCCATGATTTCTTATTTGAAGTAAGGGGAAAGAACAAATATTAAACACTTCTGCAATTTAAGGTTGCTTTTTCATTAAGCTAAATGCTGCAAACCAAACTGACCTCATTGTGGTTTGTTGATAATGAGTCTTAGGAAATAAAATGCAGAAGCATGCACTTTTTATCTTTCACTGATATGTGAGCATTTGAGTTGGGCCTGATACAATGATATCATTTATGGGTGCAATGTCGCGAATAATACTTTAATAATCAATACTTTTTTTCCTTTTGCATTTGCTTTTTGTCCTGTATTTTTCAAAAAAGCCGACACCTGTAAATTTATTAATATTTTTGAACTTGCTCAAAGTTCAAAGAGCATAGCCAGATTTTTCAACAAAAAATAAGCACCTTTTAAGTCATTTTCAAACAACAACAAAATTTTTTTAATCACTTTTCCAAAAAAAAAAATCATAATTAGGATCTGTGGAGCAATAAAAGTTACTTTTTTCTATCGTTTAAAGTTCTTAATTTATAAACATAAAATTCCAAAAACACTTTCAAAAACTTTTAACATTATCATGATAAAATAACTAGTTTCTGATAAATATTGGAGAAAAAATTGTGAAAATAATGATTTTTTTATAAATTTAGAAGAAAAAAAAAATATATAGATAGATAAAAAGCACCCCGAATAAATTTAAAAAAAAGAGCACCTTTAAGCACTTTTTAAAAACGCTACTGACTTGTACTCAGTTTCGAAATATTATTATTGAATATGATTTATCTTTATTTATGATTTGAAAAATTGTGCTTTAAATTTCTGATAGTGAAGAAATTATTTTGGAATTATTTTATTTACGAATTCCATTAATGAATAATACTAAATTCACAAATGTTTATTATTTTTATTTATTTATTTTTATATTAAACTAAAGAATAAATGTTTTTCGTATTTCCAATATTTAATCTAACAAATATTAATATTTAGTACACATAAATAGCACTAGGACAATATATTTTGTATTCAAAGAAAACAGGAAAAAAATAAATTTTATTATTAGCTTTCTCAAACTCTTCATAAAAGTTGCTAATATTAATTCTTTTTCAAAAAATCACAAGGTTCAAAAAATATTTAATGAATCAGGATATTGAAAAACGCCTGCCAAACACTGCATTGATGCTATAATCGTTCTATCATGTTTTAGTCTAATTTGATCAATATTGTGTTGCATAATGACAAAGCACCCCAAAATGTTTATCACAAAAAAATTTGAAAATTAATACACTTGCAGAAGCAGAGGGGAAAAAAAGACAACAAATGCTTTCAACTAAATTCTTGTTAGACTGTCAAACTAAAAAGTATGCTCGAACACATTAAAATCATATGATTTGATACATGACACAGCAATGGTTTATAAAGCTAAACATATACTTATGAAAATTAAGTAATACTTCTTTTTTAAATATTTCTCTGATAAACAAAAATAGTACTATAGATAATTTTAAATACAATTCTCTTTAGAAAATATAACTCGTAAATGAATATAACAAAAAAATACATGATATGAATACAGGCCTTAATCTCTCCAAGTTCACAATCACAAATCCCTAATACACGCACAAGTGTTCTATATGTTACCTCGGAAGCCTATCTTTCACACACTGAGCCACACCAGCTTCAAATCTATTTCAACACAGATGTAGTTTTGAATTTTTTAAAAAAATAAATTTTTTCTTCATAGTCACATTTGAAGAGAACAAACACCCCTTTGTGCAGATGCTAAGGCAGTTTTGAAGTGATGTCCGTTCAGACAATGGTCTATGATATGTTGGATTTTATACAATTGGGTTTCAATGATTCTGTATAAATGCTTTAAAAATGAAAACTCTCATCCCGGGAGGAATGAGTTTTTTTTTTTTTGTTTCTCTAAGACTGAAATTGTATTGCCTTTTGGCAATTTGAGTCATTTTGGAAATGAAACATATAGTTTCTCATTTATGTCAATGTTTTAGATCATCGTCAGAGCCACTGGCATCTTCGTCATCTGTCATAACTGTTACGAGGGTACCGACGGCTTTTCCGAGATTGCCTGCCATATGTAATAAATTTCCAACACGTGCAGAACCTAGGATAAAGTAAGTAAGTTTCAATTTTTTTTCCACATTCATGCATGATAATAATAGACAATTACAAGGTGTGTTTGAAAAATTTGATGAATAGTCTATTAAAATGTAACGAAATATAAGATACAAACAAAATACCTAGACTAGCATTGAAACTAATTGATTTAAAATTTGTGTGTATTTTTACTTTGCATTACAACTGCATTGTTGTTATTTTTACTGACTGTCTTAACCCCTTAACAATCGGTTAATTTTCAAAAAAACAGTCATAAAAGTGCCTTTTTTTTTGTATTACGTATTTGATTAGTATTGCAACTAGTTTAAAATAAACTATATACAATTACCTTTAAAATACCCTGTTACTGCCATAGAAATAAAATGTTTTCCGGGCAAAAGAAATTTATTAGTTTTATTCTTATTGGCGCGTTACTACTGAACACTCCACCCGGTCAATATCACGGCAGCGAGAAATAGTGGACGAAATCTCACCCCGTCATTTTCACGGGAGCGAGAAGGAATGCCGTTCAACTATATAAAAACTTTACTTACTACTTCAGAAGTGCCAACTATTGCGATTTATTGGTAATTATTAACAGTTTTTAATCAAGATTACGGTGTTTTAGTTGAGTAATAAAAATTACTGTTTTTGAGAGAATTTAAAAAATGCGTTAAAAATTATTTCTTTTCCCTAACAACCAAGAATTATGAAAGTTCATTGTTTGCAGAGAATAATCATAAAAAGTAACACTTAATTGCTATGTTTTAATATTTAATAGTAAATTCATGCATAATATTAGGTATATACCATAGAGCTGTTGTAAGGTAGATCGAACCTGCCGTACAGGATAATTTTTGTTTCAATAATAAAACCACGTGATTGATGCACGATTTGAGGGGGAAGTTTTTCTACCTTCTGTATATCCTTGTTATTTAAATGGAAGAAACTCACCCAAATTTTAACAAAAAAATCTGAAAATAGGGTTGTTTGCTGTTGTACATTTGGTAGTGAAAAGAGGGTTACGACACATTTCATCTGTAAGTTATCGTCTTATCAATCTTAACTACCGATCTTATCATTCTTAACAATTTCTGGCATGCACTTTATTCATTCTAAAATCTAAATTTATACTTTTAAAACTATCTTATAAGTGAATATAAACATCTAAGAAAACTAATTAACTATAAAGTAATGATTAAATAGAACTATTTATTAATTCTTCAGAGGACATTTGTTTTTATCTTGGCTACTTTATGTTGTATTTTTCTATTCACTATAATTCTTTTAAAACAATCAATTCTTCACCTTCAGTTTTTGAGTAGCTTGTTTTGAGTTAACTAGTTCATGAAATATAAATTTGCTCAGAGAGAAGAAGAGTTATGAAAGATCATTACAAAACTATTTGATAGATAGGGCAAAATGTTTAAAATCTTTTAAGCTCTTTGATGAAATCAAATAATCAGATCTTTTATAATTGCAGACCATAGAAGAAGAGCTGTTTATGTCCATTTTTCACAGAAATGACGATTAGATAGCCTTATGTTGCATTTTCACTAAGTTCTGATAAATCAATAACGTGAAAAATTGGCTCTCCTCAAAAATCATTACACAGCGAATATGAGTTGTACTGTTAAGAAACCCTTCACGTGAAATTACTTAAAGCTAATTTGAAAAGTTGACATCTCCGCTATACCTTCACTAAATTCCGTGTGTCTGCATTGCAGTTTTGCCCTATTGATTTCTATACAATACTTCATTTTGCAGAAACATGCCATCTCACAATGATTGTACGTTTGATTGGTCCTAATGCTCACATTCATTGAACCGCAGCGATTTAGATGCACAACTGTACAAAATACTGCACCTTATGTGCTAGTACTTTTAACAGTAAAATCCATTTTTGGTGTTAAATTTTACGGAACAAAAAATCTGGTATGTTGCAATTTTTACGGTAGTTTTTTCCGTAAAATAGTTTAATCACTGTAATTAATTAAATATTAAGCTCTTAACTTTTTACTATAATTTGATCTAGAATTCTTTACAGTATGGGGATTTACTGTGTCCTCCATACTTAAACTACATTTATGAGCATAATGTATTTATGTGCACTTAAGTATCTTAAAAGTATGGAATTTATATACGCCTAAAGAAGGTGAAATCCCAGAGCAAATGATTTTTCTAAGAAGTGATTGATTTTATGAGATATTCATCTGAAACATGTTTCAGATTGAAAGATTTTTCAGATGAACTAATGATTCCCTGCTTATTGTTTGGGTAGCAACATGCATTCACACAGACCTGAAATATCTAATAAAGTAACCAGTCAGATCTTCAAACCTGAATCCCATCGAGTATGTGTGGGATGTTCTTGGCAGAACAATTACATGTATCCCTTCCTCTTCCACAACCTCCACGGCTAAAAGCTGCTTTACTGAGGAAGATTTATTGTATCTACACCTCCCAAACAGCATGAGATTCTGATATGAGACTTGCATTGCCAACAAAAGCAACGTCATACCCCAAATAAAACCCAACTACAAGGGCCATTTGGCTACTTGATTTTTTGACTATTTTGCTGAGATGCCCAATCACTCACAATCTTGATTTTGTGTCATTACATTTTTTATTGTTTTATGTACTTTCATACAAAATTTCACCTGATTTGCAAGGGCCCTACTTACTAGGTCCTCAGTGATTCAATGTTTTATTTCTGCTGTATAAGTGATTATTTTTATCTTGCTTACGGAGTCTTATTTCCCTATACATTCTCAATATAACCAGAACTATATTTAACCAGCTTACACTGCTGTGATTGGGCTGATTATGCTCGAGTCCTGGAACATTAAGGAAATCTAAAGGAATACAATCTCTTGTTTAAATAATAAACTTTCCATGCATCATTAAGCATGAGTGCACTACTGCATGCAAGTAAAACCTTTAAACTAGTCAAAAACTGAATAATAAAACCAATTTACATTTATAACAATGAGCTAATTTTTTTTCCTTCTAAACACTACATTTAGATTTATTTTTAAAATATGAAACGAAACAATTATTCACTCACAAGTAAGATTATGTAATTTTCAACTTTTGCTGTAAAGCCACAAGTTACTGATACCATTCAACGACATCATTGAAACGACACTGGTAAGCATAAAAAAGGGAGACATTGTTATTTGAAATAATTGAGGATTTTCACAGGTAAAAAAATAACTGGCTTTCAATATAATTTGAGTGCATCGACAAACAGTATGAAGCAAAAGTCTACCCTATAAAGGGTCAACTAAAACTGCAAATTCTTATCACGCGAATAATGAGAAACATAGTGGATACAGATGTTAACCTTCTCCCATTCCTGTATATAAGAATTCCTGCAAAAATACGGTTTCTGTCAACACATGTTTGCGTAGAAGTTAAGGAAACATTTACACTTAGAATAGGATATTATTTAAAACACAAACTTTACTAATTACAAAGATTATAGTCAGATATGCATAATATGTGAGAACATCATTTTTAGTGTTACTATATTTTTAGCATTAGGAGTATCCTACTCATTAAAGAAAATAAAACAGTCAAAACTCTTCTCTATTCTAATGTGCAGTACCATCTAGCAGATATTGATATGAGAATTTTTTCTCTGCTTTGCGCAGTTGCACTTTTCCAACGATTACATTTGACTTTCAGGAATCCTAGTATCAGGGATGAGTTTTATCCACTTTTTTCAATTTAACAAAAAAAAAATTTGATTTTACCATTTTTTTCTACTAATGCAGGCATGATTTACAATTACATTTACATGATCTGAAATCACACTTAAAAATTCATATCATGTCATTCACATGATTTAAGGTCACACATTTCAATTAGTATTTACCTGATTTAGGATTGCACATGTGCTTCATACATTAAAAATTTTATATTAAACATCGCAATTCTTATTCAAACTATTTAAAAGCTACTATTGTGATTCATGTTCACGTGACTTAAAAAATATACATCAAAATTATTATTCACAGCATTGAAATTAGTATACAATCTATTTTAAAATCAAACATCAAGATTTATATTCATTCTCGTAATTTTTAAATTAAATATTGAGATTCTTATTTGTCTGATTAAAAAAAATCACACATTAAGATTCCGATTTACATAAGTTAAAAAATAAATGTTTAGTTAAAATTTCTAATTGTTATTTTCTATTAAAACATTGATAATATTCTAAGGATATATATACTTCCTACATAAATCTTGTTCAAATTTCAATTATTTTTAAACAAATTTTGTCTAACTGAGGTGGCGAGGCAAGTGTTTCAACTAATTAAAACAGTTATTTGCTTACCGAAAGTTTTTTTAATTGAGACTTTGTGTTCACAAAAAGTTTTTCATTTTATCCATTTTGGGAACCCTTGCCTTTAAAAAAGAAAACATTACTCAATAATATGAATTTGCATACTTTTAGCTCAATTCCTTCATGTGAAGGGTTTACTTTTGCTTCATACCTTGCTTTTAAACTAACATCTTAGATTTAATAATCACAATCATTTCAATCGACACATGTTACACTAAATAAAATCAATGATATTAATAAAACTAAATGCAATTTAAGATAGATTCAGTAGAAGGAAGCAAGAAAAGTAGTTATAATTAGGAGATAAATCACTGATAAGAGCCAGTAGCAAGAGTCAGAAAAGGAAAAAAGGATAGGTAGCCACCACAAGAAATTCCTTATTGCAGAAGGTGAAGTGTTATCCTATGCAACTCAGCTAAAAGCATATAATTTATCTAACTTACTGATTTTTTTTTCCTAAATAAATTATACAGAAGACTATGGCTCATTCACAGATATTTCTGCTTCTTGCTTGGATTCTACGTTCATAAAAATTTTCAGTAAGAAATTTGAATCATTGCAATAGAAAAGTAAAATAGAATCAATAGCTAACAAAACAATGTTTACCAGTATGATCAACTAATTGACCGTTTCTCCTAGGTGCTTGTTCTACAATGACTGTGCGATTCCAAGATGGATTAGGGGAACCATACCCATTGTTTTGAGGATTTCCTCTTACTGGTACTGGTTGAGGCTAAAAAATAATTAAGAATTTATAAAAAACTCCACATTTCGGAATTACGAAATGATACATTGGGTCAATTCCTCGACACAGAGCTTTTGGAGCTAACTCCAGACCATTCAAAAACAAACTTTAAAAGTTTAATAGGTTTCCATCTTAAAAGAAGAGTGGGAATATTCTTCCCATCTCTTTCTGCTATGAATAAACCGTTTTGTGTAGAATTCAATTGTTTTGAAAATAAACTTTTCATTTTAATGCAAAATATTCCCCATTGTTACACCAGCAATATTTTTTGTCACTTTTTCATCAAAATAAAAGTTTATATGAAATATACATTTAGAAATTGAGGATTTGATTGGTGCATTAAAGTAGAACTATCTAACTCCATTCAGTAGGAATGTTCCCTAAGTTTGCAAAAATCTTAATCTTAGTTGTATTTTAATACTCTTTAAATTTTTTATTGCAGTTTAATTTTCTGAAAGAAATATTCAAAATATAGATAAATAATTAGCCTTAAACAAAGAATAATGACGTCATACTGTTAAACTATTAACAACCCTTAATAATAAACTTCACAAAAGTTGAAGAAGCTCCAAAAAGCTCAGTGCTGTGGTACAGACCCATTCTCAAATGTTTCAAGATATTCTACATTAAATCCAAATTTTTTACCAATAAAATATAACAAACAATAAGTAATTATTAGCTTAACACATAAAAGATAGAAGCCTTAAATTTCCACAAACTTCATAATTCTTGATAGATAATTTTATAATTACTTTTGCAGTGAGAGATATTTGATTACTTCCATATTTTTCTATCTTTCCTTATGTATATATATAATCTAATTGCCTGGTCCTAAACTGCTTTCATTTTTTTAAAATCAGATATGTTTGATTGAAAAATAATTAACCCTCTGACTGCTCATCCCGCGATTTCTACGGGCAACTCAATTGTAGCAAAATCTGCTCATCTCGCGATTTCCGCGGACATGTATTTTTCTTCCTTTATTGATGAGCGCATCCTGTTTAAGCAGTATTAGATGTTTAATTTATGTTTTGACCAACAGATGTCGTTAGTTGTCCACTAAATTGCCGAATTTGAAGGCGCGTAGTGTTACAGTGCAAACTTCACATTTTGCCGCTATTTTCTTATCAGAAATGGCTGCTAGAAAACGTTCAGCGGTTGACAGAGTGTATATTCCTGATTCAGATTCTGAAAGCGATTTTAGTGTGCTGTATGCTGTTCAAGAAAAGATGCAAATGGCAAAAAAATTCGCAAGGAAACACCAATCTGGTGTAAAGACTGAAGTTGAACTTTGCCTTGAACCCTGCTTCAAACTCTATCATACTAAACTGCATTTCTAAGGTATTTCTTTCTCGGTGCCTTATGTATTCTTAAATTTTATACATTTGACTTTTTTTATATTATGCAATAAATAGAAATTAACAGTAATTCAATTGAAATTAATTTTAAAAAGAATCATTTTGGTGATAACATCTAAAATTAGTTTTTCTGACAACTTAGTTTCACATGATAAAAATCCACATAAAAAAAATTTTTCTAGAAAGAAAAAAATGCATTTTTCAATTCTCCAATATATATAGATTTGAAATATGCAATAAAAAAATATGCAATTTTTAAAGCGATTTCGTTCCAAAAATTGAGCAGTCAGAGGGTTAATGGATAAAATCTTTAGGTATTATGTTGGCAGATTTCTTCAAACCTGAAAACAGTGGGCCAAAAATTGCGTTAGTGATAACAATAGATAACCTCGTGTTATAACTAAAGGGCTGCGCAAGTCAAGCCCTCTCAATTCATTCATTTTTGTTTTGGTGAAGATGCATATTGCTGCATATTTTTTTCTTTGCTTACAAGGTATGCCTACTACAGAAGATGATGTATTAGCATATTTTCAAACTCGTGACCATGTCATAAAAAATAAAAAATTTGTGTTAATGAACACAATATACTTCTGTATTTAAAAACAAATAAACAATTACGATTCAACGTCAAAAAATTTTGTGAAATAAGTTTGGTAGTGATTCAAATTTTAATACTTTCTTCCTTTTTCATGCATCAAGTTATGTTTGTATTGTATATTTGTCTGTACTGATTATAAATAGACGATATTTATAATCAATTACAATGTGAAAATAAATTTGGCAACGTGCCGTTGAAAACGGTGTCAAGATTATACATAAATATCAAGGATAATAATAATTAAAAAATACTCTTAAAGAATCTACCTAGCCTAAAGGCAGAAAAAAAAATTTTACTCCTTTTTTTTTAAAAAATACCATAAGCAAAAATGCACTTAAATAACATACTTCATCTAAGAGTTGCCTGAGACGATGTAATTGTGCTTCTAATTGTCTGTTATGATCTTCTAATATTTGCATTCGAGCTTCTAGACGTCCTTTATGCTGTCTGAGTAATTTTGCTTCAGCCAACATTTCTTCATCTCTGCAGGGCGTCATGGGTGTCTGCTCTTCCTCCTCTTCTGTAACGGTAGGAGAAACGCTTCTACTACCTCTAGAGCCTCTAAGTCTTTCATACTCTGACTGCAAATGCCTGTAAATAAAATAAAATAACTTCATAAAAAGACACACTGAAGAAAGGGACTGATCTCTAAATTTTAATTACATTTATTTGTATCTTATATAATCTTAAAGATTCTTTGAGAATAATTAAATTAATCAGTCTTTCTGTACCTGTTTTCTTCCTCAAGTTCGTTAATCATTGCTTCTAGCTCTTCTCTTTGTTCAGCGTCAATGGATGCCATAATTTGAGCTGGACTACGAGGCTGAAAATACAAAACAAATAAATTATACAGTTTAAATCGATTTTATTTTAAAGATTCAATTTAACATGCACTAAATGTGTCACAAAAGTTACTAATTAAACTTTAGCTTTTCTTCAGTAGATCACAGCTTGTTCTAAAATGTTGAGCTAAGTGAGAGGACAATTTGGTTTTAGGATTGGTTGAGTCAGAATCTCTGATTTAGTGTAATTCTTTTTTCAGACTACACATGGTCCCTGATAATGGATACTTTTGATCCATATTGGACAGGAAGTTCAGTACAATTCAGTACAGACTACACATGGAAGACTACATGGAAGTTCAGTACAGACTACACATGGTCCCTGATAATGGATACTTTTGATCCATATTGGACAGGAAGTTCAGTACAAAACTTGAAAAAAATTATGTTGATGAAAATGTAAACATTTGAGTGTAAATGAAAAATGAAGTGTTTGTGTGATTGGGACACATTTAGGGCATCTTCAAAACTGAAGTATACATTGATCAAATTTAAGGTTAAAACAATACTGATTATGTTTTTTGATGTTTGTGCTACAAAATAATTTAACTCAAAAACAGCAGATCCACTACAACTGATGCTAGAGATGAACTAGGACTTATATTAAAAACCTACAGATCAATAGAATTTTTTGTGCAGTGATTGAGGTTTAATAATTTAGACAAAAATTTAACATGTTAAGTCGAGATCTCCAAAGAGAGAGCCAAATATAATATATTATTGAGATTGCTTACAGGCGGATCTAGGGATATGTTTTTTAAACTTAATCAAACTTTTTATGTTTAATAGCTTAATCAAATAGATTTTCTTATATTTAATTTAATTCAAAATTTATCAGAAAGTAGATGAAAACTTCAAAAAGAGCCTGAGACTAAAGACTTCCATCACTTAATAGTCCATGCCCTAATCGATCTCGGTTTAAGGCTGCACAACATTTCCTGACAAGAGTTTCAAAGTATGTTAATTTGGAGGAGATCCAAAAATAACATACTTTATCTGTCCATATCGGATATGCAAAAAACTGATACTAATAATGTGTAAATGTTTATGGAGACAACAATCACAAATCATCAATAATTCTTTTTTAAAGAAAAATACTCCATAACTTTCGGGGGAGACGCGGTATTAAACGATAACTATTTTTTAACAAACTGCAATCACTATGATTTAAAAACTTTTATTAACATAGAAAATAAAAGCCTAACAAAAAATTACAACTAAAATCCTCAAATATAATTTTAAAATTGGTATTTTTAAAATGAAAAAAAATTTTAAACTCATTTTAATACCCAATTTATATTAAAATAAACATGGTGAAAAGTTCCACGAATTAAGTATCAGAATATTTTAATATACTATTAGAAGAAAATCAATCAATTACCACTGGTAAAGCTATTTCACCACTCAGTGTTTGGCAATATTGTGCTATTAGTTGATGCTCATCTTCACTTCTGAAAAAATAAAAGGGAAAATCCATACAATTTCTTTTTTACAGTACACCCTTGATAAAAATAAATTAGATCAGACTACTGTAAGAACACTTTATCTAAAAATATAGTTGTATTATAACTTACGAATCTGGTGTAGAATTACTTCTTGCTCTCAACTCTACTTCTGCCAATCTATTAAAGAAAGCAATTAAATAAATTAAATTTGAGAAAAATAATGTAAAATTAAATCAAAAGTCAAATTTTAAAGCAATTGTTTAATTAATTATTAAATATAATTGAAATTAAATGATAGTTACACTTAAATTCAAAGTAAGCTGAATAATATAAAGTTGGAAATGAAAAATATATAGATATAATAGCTATGTTGATTACAGAGAAGCTAAAATATTTAACTTTCTTTAATAATTTTTTCTCTTAATAATAAAACACTTATTTTTCAGTCTTAAATAACCTCTATTTTAATCACCATTTCAACTGCAGCATTTCAGTAGAAAAAAAATAGAGATTGAGGTCTCAACATTAGCTTAAAAATAATCAAAGAAAACAGGTTAAAATTTATTACTACTGAATATTCGCTTCCATTTTTTTATATTTATGAAAATAATTGATTAGTTAATAAAGATCTATCTGAAAACATCACATTTTAATGAGGGGGTGTTCCAATTTGATTAAAAATTAAGAAAATTATGCAAGAAATTGAAAATATAATGAAAATAATATAATAATATTTATAAAATAAAAAGTTTAATAACAAAATTAATACTAAAAATATATTTGTTCAAAACAAATATAATTATGACAGGATATTTACAAAAGGAAATATTTTAACTTAACAAAAAAAAAATTCTTGCAAGACTAGTAAAAACTGATCGATTAATTATTTCACTAAATGTATAAATAGTTAAAGCTTAGTGCATTAATCATTATGAGTGATACAATTAGCCAGATTCTAAATTCTTTTCAACAACTGTTTATATTAGTTTTTTAAAAAAATTAATAATAATTTTCTACCTGCTTGCATAAAGTTCCAGCCTAGAGTGCATTTCTTGAGATGATAAAGTGTGTTGGGGCGATGGCGCTGGACTTTCAAGATCATCACCTTCAAGTACAGTCTGAACTGGAAGATAACCAAGCCTTTGATGCTTCTTGAAGTAACGTTTTGATTTGAATTTATTCTTCATGATTTTGGTGAAATCACGCACATCCTCTCCAGAGGTGGTCTGAAAGTCAATCATTTTATTAACAAGAAGTGAGGAAGATTGGTTATATTAGTAGCAAAAAAAATTTTGATCTAAGTCATGAAAAGAAAATCAAAAGCAGTACATCATCCTTTGACATTCTCCTCAAACGTGGTCTGAAAGTCAATCATTTTATTAACAAAAGTGAGAAAGATTAGCTTTATCAGCATCAGAAAGAATTTGACTCGAGTTATGAAAAGAATGACAAGAAATGCACAGACTGAACATTATCAGTACATTAACCTCAGGTTTAAGCACAATATCTCTTGACCTACAAATACAACTGACCTACAAATGCTTAAAAATGTGACTTAAACATTAAATTAATTAGTTATTTTACCTTGTTGAAAATGTTTTTAGTACTTTTACCTTACACACAAGTTTTCAAACTACCATTTAAACTGCATCATATATCTAAGAGAAGCAGAACTTTACTAACACTGAAAAAAATATGAAATTAATAATTCAAAATAGATACCTCTATAAAAATTAAGGAGCTGATTTTGAAAAGAAGTTAAATGACAATAAATCAAAAAGTTACTTTCTGCATTGAAACAGACCATTGATTAGAGGACAATAGAGTTAAAGTTAATAAAGTAGCATAGATTGTGTCAAGTTAGTTTGCAAACAGGTAAGAGTTGGCCTTTCCCAGCATGAACTTTCATTATTAATAAAAGAGAGTTTTTTTTAGATGCAACACATTTTTGAAACAAAACTACTATGTCGCTTTTTATTTAAAACATTTCTAAATAAAGTTTTATTGTTCAGAAAGGCAGACTATTTTGATAAAATTAGCCATTACAGACTCGATACTACAGTTATAACAATTAGTTTAATTACACCCAAATGCGCTTCCCTTTCAGTGTACTGTTTTGTTTTTGTCACTCAATTCCTTATCAAAGTGAAGTCTTTAGTTGATGATCATCAAAGTAATCTTCATAGTAACAAGGATCGAATAATTAGGGAGGGGGGGAGTGGCAATAAATTTTAAGTGAATTATTTGTTAGATAAACTATGACATGTATTAAATTCATATTTCAATAACCAAGACATATTTTTACAGCAGAAGATATAATATTCATACATAAACGAAATACATAAACAAAAAAACAACTCACAGCAGTACAGTATTCTTGCATGGGATGTGTTAGTTTGTGATTCTTTGCTTTTCTACCAGAGAAAAAGCAGCCTTGACATAAATCAAAGTTGAAGCACTTTAAACATCTATATCTGTAAAATTTGAAAACACATGATTAAACATCTTATACACCCTTTATCATATAAATACAAAAATAAAATGGATTTTAAATCAGAAAATAATAGAAAACATTGAAAAATATATAAGTTAAAAATTTAGAGAAAACATCAAAAATAATTTTTAAAAAATATATATAAAAATAAAATTAAAAAGTCTGAAAACAAAATAATTAAAAGATATAATCTTGTCATCAACTCAAACAATTACATCTGCAAAAATGAGTGCTTTCTAATATTGTATCAATATAGCCAAATCAAAATATGTCAATACAATAGTATGAGGAGTATCCAAAAAAATTTAAACAAATACAGAACACATTAAATAAAAATGAAAAATTAGGCGAACATTAAGTAAAACATATTAAATACTTGCAGCCTAATAAGCAGTAAATAGAACTTAATAATTCTCTTGCTTTTCTCACTTTTTTATCCTTTGTGTTTTTATTGTGCTATATATATATATATATATATTATACAGCTTAAGATAGAAATACAATACTTATGAAAATCGAAGATTTCAAGTTGCGACAACGCCACGCTGCTAATGTCACANATATATATACAATTTGGCTAAGAACCTAAAAATGCATTCAATACTAAAAAGCAAATTATTAAACATTTTCCACATTACTTAGGCATTGTATACAAAGCCAAATAACAAAGTGTTAAAGTATGAAACATTTTATATTTTTAATTAATACAATCATGATTAATTAGTATTAACTGAAAGTAATTTCTTAGTGCAGCAAAGAGGTTTATGTTTTATTTGTTTTCCTAGAAAAAAAAGGATACATTTAAGGTAATCACTATGTATTATTAATAGTTGCTTACATTTAAGTCTTAAACTCAAGAAAAAGGATGGCGTTTATGACTGTTTCTTCAGTACACCTACCCAAAATAAATTTTCAAGTTCGTAAATTATCAACTGCAGCTACAGATATTCCATACTTGATGTAGACATGAATGAAAAGCACATCAAAAAAATTTTTTTATGAATATGGAATTATTTGAAAAGCATCAAGTAGTAATCAGATATACCTGAATCCTACAATCGGGTACTGTTTGCAAATATTACATTTCGCTTGATGCTTTGCTGTTTCTGCTGCAGCCATCCGATGAAGAACTGGAAGCCAAACAAGGGACTGTGGTTCTTGTTGTAACCACGTCAAAAAATGACTAGCTTGAATTTCTTTCTGGTTTCCAGCCTAAGAAGAAGTAAAACAAACACTTTCAGATATGTTTCATAATTTAAACAGAAAGTTCAAACAGTATTAGCAGTCAGGAAAAACTAAATATTTTGTAGTGAACTACAACTACTTTATTACAAAAGTAGTTAACTACTTTTGAAATGTAGTAATTTCTTTTAGGAGACAAACTTTGCAGAAGAACTTAATTTATACCTATGTTCAAAATGGTTTTGTATAAAAAAAAATGGCTTATTAAAATATGAGGTATTATAAAGATATATTTATTCATGTTTACATAAGCCAGTTAGTTATTCTAATTCCTTAATTATGAATTTCTTCTTTTAACTTTGTACTTTTATACCTTTCTCGGCAGAGAATATTTAATTAAAGGATAAAAGATTTATGATTTCGTCAAGTGCTTAATGCTCTTTTATGTTCTCTAAGAAATAAAATAAACAAATATTACAAGACAAAATATGTTTCCTATTATATTCCTAACGTGTACATATTTTTTAGTGTTTCACAAATATTGAAAATATAGTGTTTGAAGGCATGAATACAAATTAAAGACAAAGGACTTTGAAAAAAAAACTTTTTGTTTTAACAGGAAAAGTTTACACATTATAAAAAAATATCTGTTATCTTATTTCTCAATCACACTAAAGTAAGTATTTTACACCAGCCAGGACAAATCAATACTATCATCATGAACGTAATGTCAATTTCCATATTTATGAAAACCGAAACAGAGCTGCCACTGAGGCAAGACTCTAAAAATAGCCACTTTAGTTGCTTCATATATGAAAAATAGTTTCCACAAGCATAAAATAGCTGATAAAATACCCTTTCTTCTCTAGCATATTTTTACAATATTGTTTTTTTTTTTCCAATTTTGCAAAGGAAAATCTGAGAAAATTGTATCATCATTTTTTTAATTGCTGAAGAAGATTAAAGCAGTTTTTTTAACCATCTCTAAACTGTTGATACATAAGCCTAAACTGTTGATACAACAAGTTTAGGCTTATGTATTCTAAACTGTTGATACAACAGGTTAGTACTAAAGAAATTCTAAAGAATTGATTTATAGCACTAATTAAATAAAATACATACACAATAAAAAGGTCAAATAGATATTTTTCTTTCAAAAAAAATTTTTAAAGTAAACAAATAACTTTCATTCCTCTATTTGAATAAATGCATTTCCTAGTAACAATTTAACAAGCTTTTCACACCTCTTTGATCCTGTTATACAATCATTTGAAAAAGAAATTGATCTAAAATTTAAATTTAAAATTTAGAAACCAATTTCTGAAAATTGTCAATTTAACCACAAAAGAACATACCAATTTAGTGTTTAACATTTCCTAAAAACAAAATATTGTGCATGAAATAAAAGAGAAATTATTATTTACCTTTTCAAAACAACTTCTAACACTTGGTTCTATGTTACTGCCTCCAAAGGCAGCAATTTCTCCAAGTAGTCGAGGTATCTAAAACATAAGAAAATTAAATTAGACTTACTGCAATTTATCAATCAAAAACCAGATTTAAACTTATAATAACTATTTGAGATAGGCAATGTAAAAATGTCATTTGAATTATAATTACTCTCAGAATAACCATTCAAATAATATTGATTCAGATACATATTTTATTATTGAAACTGGTAAACCTCTAATTAAGTTAATTGCTTACTTTTGCAAAAAATATTAAATCTCAATATAAAAATATTTAAAATGAAAAGCAGTTGCTCTTTTTATACTTTTTATTTTTAATTAACATTTTTAATCAAAACTTTACTTTTTAAAGTGAAAATATTGCATAAATAGGACAGAATATATGCAATACCTGTACACAGTCATGTAATAACAACCCTAGTTTTCTTTCATCTGCACAACCATTTACATCAGCTATCAAACAAAATAAATCTAAAAAGAAAAAAAAAATCAATATTTTTATTAAATACACATACAAATATAATAATAATGTTCTGGCAAGTGGAAAAATATCTGTCGATGCACAGTAAGCCAAATAAAAAGCAAAAGAGATGAATAAATCATGAACTAATAATATGATTTTCTGTACTGATAATTTGATCAAATTGGTCAAATGGTATTTAAACAATGAAAATTCTGTTGTTCAGAAACTATTTGACAGATTCCCATTAAATTTTAGATTTTGTCATTTAAAAGGATCTGAAAATTCATACACCTAATAATTAATAATTGTTTTTGCTTATTATTACAATAAATATAAATTAGAAAAAATATCTTAATAAATTATATTTTACATTAAACTTATTATTGGATAATTGTGTTAAATAATTGTGTTACTGTTGTTTCGAGTCCATGAATTTTCAAAGAATGTCGAAAACCTGTACGATTCCTACTGCTAGCATTAGTGCCTCTTGATTATAGAGAACAGATCTTAGGTAGTCCTCAAGTAAATATAATTATATTAAAAAATTTTGAAATAGTTTAATAAATACTGAGAAAAACTTAAAAAGTGAAATTAATATTAAAAATACAAAATTTTTGATCTTTTCATGACTAAACTATATGAACTGAATTTTCAAATTATGGCTATTCTAAATATTTTGAAAGTCAAGAATTCAAACCTGGAAGAGAAAAAAAATGTGTGCTTAATCGTAGAAAAGAGGTTTTTGGACAGATATCTAAGCTTAGAATGTCATTTGACTAATTGAGTAACATATTTAAATTTATCCCTTTAAACCATTACAAATGCATGCTAGCACACAATAATCTGATCATTAAATATAAAGTCATAAAATAACTTAAGGGAATAATTTTACTCTGTGAGTAAATATAAAATATTTATAAAAAGTGTTTTTATATAACAGAATATGTGAAGCCAAAACTTAATCTATTAAAACCAATATCACAAAGTACAAGCCAAGAGATACATTAAAACTGAGTGAAATGTTTATTCACAATAGTTGCGTTGATAAATTTTCATCCTTTCTATAAATCAAATAAGCAAAGAAATAAAATGACAATTATTTGATAAAATAAGTTCAGGGGTATTAATTCTTAAAAATAATTTATTAAAATTACTCAAAAATGGCAAACCATTATGATACTAAAGTTAATAATAATTTCATTTAAATTGTAAAATATTTTACAATTAAAATCAAATAAATACTGAAATTAATCCAAAATGACAAAACATAATTAAAAATTTGATAAAATACTTTCATTTAAAATAATTATACTTACATCTAAATTTGTCTTCTAAACTTCCACGACTAAGTAAAATAATGCCTACTTTGAAAGATAGAATTCTAATATAACCAGTTCTTGTAACACTGAAAAAAAAGATGACCAATTTTTAATAATAATATTTTTAATAAATTAACTGTGAAATAGCTTAGTAAAACAAAGAAATTTTAGTTTTCTCAAAACTAACATGTAGACTGCTTTTAGGGTAACACCTAGGCAATCTAAGGTTAAAAATAATATTTACTCAAGGAAAAGTTAGAATAAGAAGAAGATTCAGCTAAGTAGGATAAGGAAAACTAGGTAGGATAAGGAATAAGAGCTAACTCGAAAAATATGAAATAAAAAGCGATTATTTATACAGGGGAGAGTTAAAGATGCCTAGACTTCCAAGTCATCCCCATTAAACAAATATATGATGCATATAATTTTTTTAACACATCTGCTTATTGCAGAGAATAGGCAATTCTGTTTGTGGCAAATAATCTGCCATTCTGTTTAAGGGTGAGAAAATTCTATTTATGGCAGAAAATCTGCAATTCTGTTTATGGCTGCCATAATCAGCAATTTGTTTATGGCAGAGAATCAACAATTTGTTTATGGCAGAGAATTGGCAAACAACAGAGAATTGGAAATGCAGAAGATGCCATACACAATTAGATTCCCTTGAGTTTGCTGCCATAGTATAGGACTATTGCCATAGAATTCAGTTTCAAACAAGCTGTGCTCATAAAAAGAACTAAAGCCGAATTTGTAATTCTATGTTAAGGGCAATTACTAAACTGGATAATTATAAATGAAATATAACAATAATGCCAACATAAATATTGTCCGGTTTTTAAGTTATGCTAAACAATATAGATTTAGTTAGATCTTTTACACGTAAGTTTATAATTTCTCAGATAAAGCATTTATGTCTTTAAAACAAAGAAACACCAGATACTTAAGACAATTTAATCATAAAATATTAAAAAAATTATTTGCATTATTTTTAAATTGAAACTATTTAATAATTTTGCCCAAGATAAAAAAAAATACAGAAGAAGTAACCCTATATATTTTACTTAAAGCAAAAGTTTAACATTGAAAATTGCAACAAAGTCAGTGCTGTCAAACCAGTGCTTACAATGACAGCTTTTCCATAATACATAAATTACCAAAGATAAGAAAATGTGTAAATTAGAAAAACAAAAAGCAATATTCATAAAGAATAAATTGTGAGTATAAAAATGTATGCTTACGTATCATAGAGATTGAGCAACCAATTCAGACACAAATCTAATGAAAGAGGAATATTAATTAAGGAATTATTTTCAGTAGCTATGCCTTCATATATAGTTGAAAGACAAGTTATCATTTCAGGAACGCTAATTAGTTTATCATTCTGTGCTCTCAGTCCATGCTGATCAAAGGCATTGATAGCATTATTCATATTCACCATATCCACTGTAAGAATAAAAACATATCGCACATTATTACAGCATATTATTTACACAAAAAGGAGGAAAGAAAGAAAAAAAAAAGATAAGAAAGATAAACTCACAGCAAACTCTCTTTTGAACAGTTCTCAGCTTCATTGCAGTTCTATAGGCAGAATAACGAATATCATTTAGCTCAGCTAAAATGTAAAGAATAACATATTAAGATCACTTGATTTTAAAGTATATAACAGGAAATAAGTCTTTCATGAAATAATAGAACAAATTATTCTTGAAAAGATTTAAAGTAGTCTTTTTGAACATCAAAATGATTATCCATTGATACTGTTGTAGCAATTTAAAATTAAAAAAAAGATGTAATATAACTTGTAATAAAATAATGTATAGTTAACTTGATAACACTAAGATACACATTATCTAACTTTAAGAAGTAGCATTATAGATTACAAAAGGGTAAACATGAAAAATAAATTGAAATGAATTCCTTTAAAATGTGTGCCTAATGAATAAATATTATAGTAAAATCTTTATCACACACCTTACTTAAATCTTAATATATACGAAAGTGTAGCAACTACAATTAAAAATAATAATTTTACATTCATTTGAGTTTCATTATACGAAGAAAATTTTCGTGGTCTACAGAAAAATGAATACAGCAGTTTGTCTCAAATATTTTAAAGCATTTGTAATTACTAATTATTAATATTCACGAATTTTGAAAATATTTAACAGACATTCAGAAAAGATATGATATCAAAGATAGAATTTTAAAAAAAGATAGAAATAAAAAAATAGATAGAAATCAAAGATAGAATTTTAAAAAAAAGATAGAAAATATAAGATAGAAAAAAAAGATAGAAATCAAAAAATTTATATCAATACTTACCTAAAGAATCCATTAGTTCAATCATTTTTGGATGGTCCCAATGAGTGGTTTCAGTTAAATGACTAAATAAATAAATTTAAAAAAACTTGTGAATAAAAATCCACAATAACAAAAAAATATATAATTGATATTAAACATAACTTACTTAACATAATAAGGCACTTTATTACCAGCAACAGCTCTTTCCCAAGGATGGCTTACTGATGCTAAAAAAAACTTAAAATTAGTACATATGTTTTTTTTCTCCATAATGCAAGATAGTTTGTGTAAAAATATTCAGAGCTCTTTGACATATACAACAATTGGAATTGCAACAAACTTCATGTTTCAGTGAAACTCAGTAAAAGAAATAAAAAAAAGGGGAGACAGAAATTAAAGTTTAAAAAAAATTTGATCTAAATGTTTAACCTGTTCCTCATAAGAAACGAAATGTACATTTATTAAAAAAAAACAAAAAAAAGTGCTAACAAAACTATAAAAAAATGTTGTCACAGATCAAATAAAGAACGAAGCGGATGAAGGCTCATCATTTGCCATCATAAAATGACATTTCAGTGAATATGAATATATTTACCTTGAGATTTACACAGTGACAATAGGAAATAAAAGATTATGCCTTGCCAACAATTTATTGTCAAACGCATGTACAATTGCATAGCTACCAACATGGATCGGAAAAAAATCCAGTAGATTTTTCAAAATAACATAAATTCAAGATAATTGTTGCATAATGTACTAAATATTCTACACATAGGGAAATGAAGAGATTTTTAAAGTCAATGAAATAGAAAGAGTGCAATATTTTCTAGTTATGATTGACATTAAATGAACTTGAAATGTTGTGTAATATGTTTACTCATAATTTTGAAAAGTAATAGGCATTTAATTCATTAAAGATAGTTAAAAGATTTTTCAAGCAATTCAAAAAGAGAGTTCTGAATAAAAATAAGAGCAATTAAGAACAAAAGAAAAGTTTTAAACTGATTTTTATAAATGAGAGTACATTCATTGTGTATTAGTAATACTTATTTAACTACTCAAGCAAGCAATAATCTGTCCAAAAATTTTATTTCAGTAGGAATTTTTCGAGGAAATTAACTCAATTTTAGGAAATTTTCTCAAATGTACAAAAAACAGTTTTTTTATAAAACCAGCAGACCAGGAGCAACTGGCGAAATAGTAGAATTGGCAGCTACGTAATTGTCACCCTCATTAAAAAATACTCATCACTTAGTATTTTTATTTATTCAAATCAAAGTATATCTATGTTCCATAGTTAAACAAAAAATATCTTACCTTCAAAGTGACATTTCTACAAAAATGTCACTTTGAACCTTCATCCATGATTTTTTGTTCTTCAAATATCTGATGTAAGATCGGATATTTGAAAAATTTAAAGGAGCCCTTGCTATCATTACGCTAACCTGTTTTCAATGTGTTTAGACTATATATAGTATTATACTATATTATTTTATTTATACTATAGTATTTGAGGTAAAATATTTCAAAACAGTTTGGATTTGCTTCACCAGTTTTACTGATAATGGGTCATATCTAATAAAATACCAGACAGATATTTGAAACAAGCTTTAAACCTCTAATATATGCTGAACAATTACATACAAAACAATTTCTTTAAAAAAGAACCTTATGCTTGAAATATGTAAAAAAAATTGTAATATGAATGTAAATCAATGAAGCGCAATAAAACTCTAATTTATATATTTGTGACAAACCATTTCAAAAAACGTTCACAAAAAATAGGTTTAAAAAAAGGTAAAAAAACGTTTAAAAAAAATAGGTCCAAAAAAAGGTAAAAAAAAGTTTACAAAAAATACTAACTTACATTTTAAAACTTGGTGTAAAATTGTAATATGAATGTAAATCAATGAAGCACAATAAAACTCTAATTTATATATTTGTGACAAACCATTTCAAAAAAGGTTCACAAAAAATAGGTTCAAAATTGGTAAAAAAAGGTTCACAAGAAATAGGTTCAAAAAAATTTTAAAAAAAGGTTCACGAAAAATACTAACTTACATTTTAAAACAATTGGCGTTAATTATTACAAACATTTAAACAAATTGGCGTAAAATTGTAATATGAATGTAAATGAATGAAGCACAATAAAACTCTAATTTATATATTTGTGACAAACCATTTCAATCAAAGAATTAAAGAAACTGCTTCAAGCAAAGAAACTGCTTAATTAAGAACATAAACTTATACACGTTTATCCTAAGTATTTATTCATTTCTTCTGTAATTTTATTAATATAATTTTAATAATAAATTTGCGTTTTGTTTTTTAAAAAATCTGAATAAAAATATTTTTACTTCTGATATCTTTAGCAGGAACAAATAAATAAAAACAAGCAAATTATTCCCAACTTTTCCATCCTATAATTATACTAAAGTTTTGTTAAAATTTAAAAACATATTTTTCAAACAGTTAACTAGAACAATATAATATTAATAGTGCATAACACACACAAAACTTTAAAAAAGCATTGCTTTTAAGCAGTTTTTTAAAGCTATTTTTCTTTTATAAATTATGACTCATCAGAACATACCACTGAGGAATTGTTGCTGAGCCGATCCTTGATCAATTAAACAGTGCTCCAATTGTTTGCGACGGTCATCCACTGCTAATTGCAGCAGTCTCCAGCGGGTATTCAATTCTTCCAGTCTATTTAAATTGGAATGTGATAGCAAAACATTGCATCCTGTAATTCGAGCAGCTGCCTCATTCACTTCGTCTACATGCATTTGTAAGGGAGCCGTTCTATCTTTAAATGCCTACAATATAAATAGTTAAGTTCTAAATCAAAAAATCCAAATAAACTTCACAATAAATCAATTAAATTAAAGTAGAATAATAACATTTATGTCCCAAGAAAAATACTTAAATAGACAATAGAAGGAATTACGAAATACTTTTCTGTAGTCTCAAGTAGTTTTCTATAACACTATTAGCATTTCTAGTGAAATGAAATATTATTGATAAATCTAAGTTCAGTCTTAGTCTTTCAAAAAAAAAAGCAAGAAAAGAAAGCTTTAATACACATTTAATTGTAGAAAGCTAAACAAGTACAGTTTATTAAAACAGAATGAAAAAATTTTCTTCAAATTACTAGATAAAAAAATAAATTCTTAGTATGCAATTAAACTAGGATTTGTCTCTAAATATCTAAGATCAAAAATTTTACTAAAAACAAGAGGGTTTTAAAAAACTGAGCCTTTCTATAGTTATGATAGGTTTTCACTGTAATTCTGCAGGTGAACTTACAGTTAAGTGCTAACAAATTATACTAGATAAACAAATTACTAGTGCTGTGATAGCTATAACAAGATATACATAAAAATATTTACGTAAAAATAAATTTACAGCAAATGGTTTTCATATGTAACATGTTTTCAGCGAAACTAACATAAAACATGTAGTTGGCATTACTGTAGATTGATACAGCAATAATTCAAATATGAAGACAACATAATTTACGTTAAAAAAAAAAAATTATTTACTTCAGTCAGTCTGTTTTTTAACATAAATATTTTTTCTTAGATACCTTTATAGCTATTGCAAAAAGAGTAACCTGTTTGTATGGTATAATTTGCTATTTAAACATATAAATGACAAAAAATTCAGGATTTACACATATAAACAAATTTTAATACAGCATTGAAATAAAAACAAATCATAAGATAAATGATACTGAATGACACACAAAAAAAAGAAAAAAAAAGAGTAGGAAAAACTGAGTATCACATGAATTGAATGAATTTAAATTTAACACATGTTTAAATTAACTTTTTTTCAACTTCTTATTTCTGAAGAATGAATAGTACAATACGGCAGAAAAAGTATTCTTTACAAATATTACATAACAATTCAAGACAAAATTCTTAAGCCAGAAAAAAGTTAGCTAAGTTTTAAGATGAGCATAATAGCTTAACCCCAGACATAAGATTACAACACTAAACATATTATAAAAAACAAAACATATTTCAGCATATTATTAAGGAAAATAATGTTATTAAATGTTTTGTAAAAGAAAGTTTAAGTACATCATTTGCATAGAAAATACAAATTTACTTGATAAATAGGTAGAAAATAAAACAAAAGTACAGAAGAGGGTTTTACTTTTAATTCATCAACTTGTTCGGGAAGTTGATCGAGCACAAATTCTGAAACTGGAGGCCATTTTGACTTAGCATTTTCAGCAGAATGTAGCCTTGTGTTTAAATCATCCATAGCTCTTTGTAAAGTTTGCATTTTCTAAAACAAGAAACAAAACTATTATATAGAAGTTTCTTGAACACTTTAATCTATCACTGTCAAAAAGAAATAATTTTAGAGTGAGGAAAAAAAATACATTGTACTTATTATAGATGGATAGCATTTATTTATTTGTAGAATATAAGGAAGATAAATTAAATGCATATTACAGTCAAAAATCTAATAAATTCAATAGATGAACTACAAGCAATTTTTCATTTCTAAGCAAAACTAAAATTATTAAAGTTTTTAAAAAAACTACACACAAAACTAGATAAATTGTCCACGGAAATTAAGATTTTTTAAGTTTCATTAGTGAAATTATTAGGGATTAGAACACAATGTAGAAAGACTTGTTTTAGGTTTTTTTAATATAAATTAACATTAAAATAAAATATCCAAGAAGTAAGATCGTTGATGTTAAAATTTTGAAACCCAAGGCAAGTAACATATTGTCCTATGAGATATGCAGGCCCTGATAAAATGGCCTATCATCCTTATAGTTAAATCATAAGTATGCATCATCATATTTCTATTTTCAATTTAGTAAGTAACTTTCCTGGGACCCTGAAACCCTCTTTCATCTGCAACTACTCTTATTTTCACACAGATTCAATCTTAAAAATAATCTATATTCACTGATTAAGTAGTTCAGAAGTAGTTGATAGCATTATGCGAACATAAAATGCAGAAGCAAGACTTAGACAAGAATGAATAAGTTCATTTTATAATTTGATTCAGACTTCAATTTAAATAGGCAATACATTTAGTAATTGTTACTTTAAAGAATAACATTTTATCAGATATTAGGACAACTGAATATTTAAAAGGAAAAATATGCTCTGCCACAAAAAGGAAAAATGAAACAAAAATACTTTGTTATTATTATGGCACAGGGATACGAATATTTTTAAAAACTACCAAGCATTAAAATTTTCAAGAAATATAGTTATGTGCATAAGCAAGCTCAATATCAAAAAATGTAAACAACTACAAATTAATTCTACAACTATTTTAAGAGTAAAATTTCAATTAAAATTTTTTTCATTCTTGAATAACAATTTGTTTAGAACATAAAGACTACTCTAGAGTATGATACTCTAGTTTTTAGATAATAAAACTAAAAATAAAATATACCGGTACTGTAAGAAATGTTGCAATCTTTAAAGAGACCAATACAAATGAAAAAGCACAAAACGAATGTAATCATTTTTATAATGAAAATTCATTAATATTTAATCAACATTTAAGGGGAATTAAAATAGGGGCATAAAATATTCCAATAACTGAAAGAAAACTGTTTAGTTAAAATGAGACAAGAATTACCTATTTTCTTAAATATATTATGCAACTTTAAAATTAGATAAAAACATAATTTAATTCACAAACAAAACCGAAATCAAATCATTGAAATAGTTGTTAAATGAGTAATGTCTTTGATGTTTTGAGATAGTAATATTAATCATTGTATAGAAAAAGTGAAATAAATAAATATAAGTATTTTCAAGCATAACATTGTGATTGCCAGTTTTGGAGTCAAAATCGAATTCATAATTATAGTTTTTAATCAACAATAATTATTAGGGCATCCCTGAAATTTGCTATAGACAGAAAAATCAATAAGAACGAAAATATTTTGGCAATACTGTTTAGAGTGTTTGTCTAAAATATAAAGATAGGTTTAGACCTATCTTTATATTTTAGACAAGCTTACCACAAGAACATCATCTAATCGCTTTTGACGCTGCTCTGTTCTAGACAAAAGGCCATTCCATTTATCTGATAACTTTTTAACTTCTCTCCTAATACTCCTAGTTATTTCTCTAGCTTGTTCTTCTGCACTACGATAACCTCGACTATCACATTCAAATTCCTTAGCTAAAAAATACATAAGTTAATTACATTAGCATAAATAAGTAAATAAAAAACATCAAGAAAATTTACTGAATCACAATAGCTATTTAATTTGATATTCTTTTGTCAGAGTAACTAGCAACAGTCACTAACCTTCAGAGTCACTAGTATCAGAAAGTGGTGGTTCTTTAGCAACGTAATGTCTTCCTGCTAAAAGACTACTTTCAACAACAGGCCTCTTATCATCAAGCTGTCTTCGGAAAGCTCTATGTTCATCTTGCTGCTTGACAATGCAACCAACATCACCTCCAATAGCTGGTTGAGCAGATAATTCAGTTTCTTTTTTAATAACCCACTCTGTAAGTTCTCGAAGGGATAGCAAAAGCTGATTCCACTGATCAGCACTGCTTTCAAGACGATTCCTGAAAGAAAGAAATTGTAAAATTAAGCGTCATTAAAAAACAAGACAGCTGAAATAATTATAGACAAAAGTCAGATAGATAAAATAGTGATTTTAAAAGTAACAAAAAATAACTTAATACTCAAACTTGTTTTGCAAAAAAATTGAACTCAAAGAAACTTTTTAAAATAAACCAAACATATTATGTTAAAAGTTTCTTGCTAAAAAATAACTATAATAAACAATTTTGATATTTTTAATGTATTCATTTCATAATTCCTTAACTATCGAGATGAATGTACAAGGTACATGGAAAACTTAAACTTTTTTCAGCCATGTCTTAAATGAGGCTGAAAAGAAATTTTTTACCTGTTAATTGAATTCACTTCTTAAAATGCTATGTGTGGATGGATAAAATTAAAGATGCAGCAATTACAAATACAGCAATTCAAGACAAAGCAACTACAATTATATATATGCAGTAAAAAACTTTATTATAAATTTGTACAAAAATACAATATTGCGTGTCACATTTGTCCTAAAACGAATAATTAAAAAAAAAAAGTGTTTCAAAGTTTAACTTAACGTAAACCCTAAAAGCAAAATCAATTACAATATTTTAAATGCCTTTTTTGAATGAATATTCACAGAACTTAAAATGTAAGCACATTGTTATTGATTATCAGAATTCGAAATTTAAGTATCAACATCATTTGACATTTAAGTATCAACATCAAAAATCATAAAAGTTTTGTAACTTTCAATATTACATTGAATGTCAAGAATAAATTTGATTATATATTTTTAATTCATCACTGAGACTTAAATCTTCTATCTAAACGCTACAACCATCTCCCAAAAAAGTTTAAGAAGGGAAAAAAAAAACATTTCTTTTTTTCAACATACAATAACTTGATATTATAAAATGGTGAAATTGATTTTATTAAAGAACAGTTTTAACATGCTTTCATATGGTAATGATACTGCTATTTTATTATGATGTCTGTGATTTCATCAGTGGTGATCACAGTACACAATTCTGCTAGGATCAGTAAAAATACTAAGTAGTGAGAAGATGTGAAAACAAGCCTTACCGAAGAGATACTGTTTTTAACCTCAGAGCATTCCATCGATGGTTCATCTCCTGGAGTTTACGTCCTAAAAGCAATGCATCATCTTGACTTTCAAGACTTTGCAACAAATGAGTACTCCTTTCACTCAACGTCTGATGAAGGTCCCTTTGAGATTCGATTTCTCTTTGCAAATCCTGGAGAAGAAAAACATATCGTAAAAAATTGTGCAATTTTTCAACAATGAAAAGCTTAATTAGTTTAGAAATTTAGTACAATTTTATACATATACACATAGTACATCAATATATAGAAAAATATAGAAAATAATAAAGATTAATAAAAAGAGAAGAAAAATTATTAAAAAAAAATTAATTAAAAAATTTTAAAAAATATATATTAATAAGCAAGAAAACAAAAAAGTGAAAAGATACAATCTCTGCATCAGCTCACACAATTATAACCGCAAAAATGGGAGTGCTTTCTAATAATGCATCAATATAGTCAATGTAAAATAATTATATTTGTCTTTGGCTATATTGATACAATATTAGAAAGACTAGACTTTTTTCATAAGATAAATAAGAAAAAATTTAAAAAATTTTTAAAATATTTTTATTTTAATAATTTTTTTTCTTCTCATGTAACTGATAAATCTGTATTATTTTTCATATTATATATATTCAATTACNATTAGCAGGGTGGTCATAATGTAAGGGCTCTTCGGTGTATATATATATATTATTATTATCATTAAATAATCGGCAACAAAAAATGTCTTAAATGTGTAAATTTTGAAACTTTTTTTTTTTTGATTATTTTAATCTTGAAAATTACATCTTAGAGATTTCCTGTTTACAGGTGACCTTTTACGAAAATAACAATTGCTAGATTCTCAGTCTCTTTCAAAAATATAAAAAGAAATATATATTTTTTACTACTTTTTACATTTTATCCAGAAATTTTTAACCCTTGCTAATTTCTTGTAGAAAATGGTAATATTAGCTTTGGAAAATATAAACGACCTATTTAAATTATGCAAATAATTAATAAATGATTATTATGAAACTAATAAGTTAATAACAATATCAATGATTTTACTTGTGTTGAGCGAAGACAAATGGGTAACATATAAATTTTAAATTATGTTATTCAAATATTGTTTTAATTTATCAGTTAGAATTATCATATTCTTTCATTCAAATGACAGCCAACAAAATACAGATTGTTGAAATATTTGTACTTGGAGGAAAAAAAATAAACGCAGTACAGTTCTTTTCATTTGCAATATTCACGTTTAAACTTATTTATTGAATATTTGAGCTTAAAAAAAGAAATAAATAAGCAAATAGAGGGAAAGCTTTGCCTCTACTGATTCCAAACATGAAGCTTTCTGCCAATTGAAAGGGTAACTTCTAAACTTTTTTTTGGTCAACAGTTAATTCTTTTTTTTTTTTTTTAATTTGTTAAGTTCAATATAAGAACAGTGGTTCTCAAATGGTGCTCCTTAAAAACTGTAAGTTAAAACCAGTAATGATTTTTGAAACCTGTCATTATGTTTATACCCAAACATTAAATCATCATTTATTTGATATTTGGGTTATTTTTATGAGATTATCTAAATGAAATAATAAAAAAAGATGTAGCAATTTTTTTTAAAAACATTTTATCCAATAACAATATATTGAATAAGTTATAAAAAGAATTTACATTTATAAAAAAATTGCTTTTGATTTGGAATTCAATATAAAATGATCAAATCCTAGAATATAGAATTATGTTCATCTGACAACCATTCTCAACTTGTTTTAATTAATTTCAAATTCTATTTTTTTTTAAAGATTAACAGTTTTTTCCCTAAACTTTTATAACAGTAGTTTTTGAAAACTATAATTCAGCGTACTTTATTGCTTTCAGCTTATGAAATACCAATAATAAATTCAGGACTAGTCTAGATGCCATACAAGTCCTGCAAACGCAACTGTTCGACATAAATTCTATAATTGTAAGTCTATTTATTATTGATAAAACGATGACTGAATAAATTTCACTCCTCACATTAAATATAATAAAAATAATTTGCAGTTTTATTTATTTATATTTTTTTTAAGTACGTATATGCAAAGTTTACTAATTTCACTTACTAACTTGGAGTTCCGCCAAAAGATGCTCGATTATTAAGGATCCCGGAATCGTAAAATATGGAGAACCGCTGAGTTAGAACATAGTTACAAATATTATACTCTAGAAATGTCAGAAAGTTATTGTTTATGAACGATAATTAAGCAAGAATGCTAAACTAGTAGGTTTAGTATCTGGAATCATGCTATAAACATGTTTAAACTGTTTAACCTATTTAAACGTAGTGGTTGAAAAAAATCAACTTAGATTAATTCGTTAAAATTCGGATCAAGTACATACACAGAAAATTTATTAGCACATTAAATATACAACTAAACTCTTCCGCAAACCGCAAAATGCGGAAGAGGCGGGCTTGAAAGAAAAAAGAAGTCTAGAAAACAGAGTCATCTTACAATTTATTAAATTTTATCAACAAAACTAACTAAATTAAACATTTATATCGCCGTTCTAACAGTGCCGCGGAAATGACAAACGGCAATTATATTCATAGAAAAACGATTCGTTATTAATAACTCAGTAATAACTGAAACGTTAACTTTTGTTTATAATACTTAAACCTCCACGTACCAACGGGACTTTTAAGTTTCACTAATATTTCTATATAGCCTGAAACGGAATATAACATTCCATTGGAACTTGTCAGTCCCTCTAATATGACTTTCGGTTTATCACTAGTCATTAACAACACACAATTATTTGAAGTTGAACATCACCTGAACTATTTAATTATTGATATTTCGTACGAGGACTCTATTTTATGATTCCTCAATTTCATTCCTCAATGCTCAGCTTTTTATCTCGGTCAATTTTCCAAACAAGTCTTTGATTTTTTTTTAATTATTATTTTTTTTTAATTGATACGTAAAATTTTTCGACAAGTTATGAAACAAAGTATTAAACGTTTAACTTTAATTAAAATTTCATAATGAAGTGTAAATCCCAAATCAAATATATGGAAAAATAGAAAATATTATAAAAATATTTGACAAAATAGACATTATTTAATAGGACAGAAAAGTTCCTCATATTTTTGATAATATTTTACTAATTTAGTAAATAAAGAGTTTAAATGGGAAAAAAATGTTTGAATAAGAAAATGAGTGCGATTCATTGGACGGCAAATAGCAATAAATTAAGTTCACGCCCTCTTTAAGATATTACAACATCAATAATTAACCCCATTTACGACTAAACGTGCGTAAACAAGGCCGGGATAGCCTGGTTGGTAGGGCACTGGGCCCATGTCCATAAGTTCGCGGGTTCGATCCCAGCCGGCAGAAGACTACCCGTGCAGTAAATGGTGACTGATGCACGTTAAATCTGTCGTTTCGCGAAGTCAGCCGTATTCCCGTAACAAATTAATACCTTTGGGGGTACTGATCCAGGAATTTCCTTGTCTTCTGGATTGGTTCAGAATTGTAAGGCTAAGGAGTTGAACATTAGTAGTCGTAAACCCAAAATTGGGTAGACTGTTCAACGACGGATATAAACGTGCGTAAACGCACCATTCGAATAAATATATTTTTATTAACACAGTGAAGCATAATTTTTACGAATTTTATTTAGCTATTTTCTACGGTCCTGAAGACATCTAAAAATTATTATTAATTAAATTGGGGTAAACACCTTCTGTTGAGAAATTTTTACTTAGAAGAGTTATTTTAAAAATTATTAACTACGTTAGTTTCTTTAAAAAATAATTAATGGGTTTTTAAAAAATTATAATTATTTAAAATGTGATTAAAAATAGGTTTTTATGACATTAAAGTTGCAAATTCTGTAAATTGAATAAAAAATAAAACAAACGTGAAAAAATCAGTGTTCAACCAAATGAGTTGTGAATTTATTTGGCCAGTAGAGCACATACGCACCATTTCATTTTATACATAAAGCATTATTATTTATGCACGAAACTTTTCTTGCATCTTAATAATAATAATTCAAGCATAATTCAATAAAAATAATTCCGCATTTTAAAAAATTTCTATGACTGGCCTAAAATTAGGAAAGCAAACAAGTAGCATGCATGGCTTGTGATACGAAAAACAATAGCTAGAAAACTCTGGTAAAATATAAAACAAATTAAAAAAAAGCAAACTTACGCTTTCCATGTTTCGCAAAGTGTGCTGAACGCTGTAATTAACGATCATTAATCCTTTTTCCTTTGAATCGATCGACATTTCTACTTCTACCGCCTTGACCATCTCGATCGCAAAATTAACCAGTCAATTTCCCATATTTAGAATAAAAGTTTCTATTTTACACCCACTTGAAAATTTTGAATCTGATTCGATACCAAAAGTGGTGCGGAATCTTCATTTTTATTTCCTCATCAAAATTCCAGGCGATACATCACTGTGGCATATGGAATTTAAAACATAACTCAGTCACGATTTGAGAAAGATCTCCGTCAACAATAAACCTGCTGGATCATAGGACACAAGCTTTCATCGTCCTTCGCAATACCTGTTTCCATTTTTACCATTACAGAAGAAATTTAACGAACTCAAACAAGCGCTGGACTGTGACTAAATGAAAAGATTTTCGGAGGAAAGTAGAAAACTGATGGACTTTTTTTTTTTCTAAAGAAGACGAAGAGGAATAAAGTACCACTCCATCGAGCTATTTAAGGTAGAAGATAAAAAGTTTACTTTCTGGGAGAAGTCCGCGTTTTCTTTTTAAAACCACTCCATGGCCATCACTTAAAGGATGGTTGTATTTGAAAGCATTCCCTTAAGTCCAGACGCTCTCGGAAAGAAAAAAAAATAACAGAGGGGCGTTCTCTAAACTTGTAAAAGCGAAATCTCGTAAAAAATGAAGAGATGCCACAAAAAGAAGTTAAACAAACGACCCCTCTTGGAAGATTATGCTATCACCTAAGTGATATGCTTGAGACCGGCACTTCTAGTAGACATTTTTCGGAAAAGAAAAGTTCCACAGTAGACAGGTGTAAACACTAGTGTCCGAATTTGAAACTTCGCCAAACAGTAAATGACATAAACGGGCAACTGGATAGATATCGAGTGATGTATCCCACAATATTGCCAGGTAAACG